AACCCCCTAACCCCCTAAACCCCCAACCCTAAAGCCGTCCGAGGGGTTGTTAGAGCAAAAAATGCTTAATTACTGATCGATGGACTAGAAACAGGGTTCTTTACCCTAAACTCTAAACCCCCTCACCCCCTTAGCCTAAACCCCAAACCCTCAAGCCTAAACCCTAAACCCTAAACCCCAAACCCCCTAACCCTCTAAACCCCAAACCCTAAAGCTGTCCGAGGCTGTTAAAACATAAAATGCCTAACTACTGATCGATGGACTAGAAACAGGGTTCTCTACACTAAACTCTAAACCCCCTAACGCCCTCAGCCTAAACTCCAAACCCTAAATCCTAAACCCCAAACCCAAAACCCCAAACCCCCTAAACTCCAAACCCTAAAGCCGTCCGAGGGGCTGTTAAAGCAAAAATGCGTAATTACTGACAGATGGACTAGAAACAGGGTTCTCTACACTAAGCTCTAAACCCCCTAACCCCCTTAGCCTAAACCCCAAAGCCTAAAGCCTAAACCCTAAACCCTAAACCCCAAACCCCCTAACCCCCTAAACCCCAAACCCTAAAGCCGTCCGAGGGGTTGTTAGAGCAAAAAATGCCTAATTACTGACAGATGGACGAGAAACAGGGTTCTCTACACTAAACTCTAAACCCCCTAACGCCCGTAGCCTAAACCCCAAACCCTAAAGCCTAAACCCTAAACCCTAAACCCCAAGCCCCCGAACCCCCTAACCCCCTAAACCCCAAACCCTAAAGCCTTCTGATAGATGGACAAGTCAGCTCTATACGGCTACTTCAAAACGCCTGTAAGAATTGGTTGGTACCAGGGTTTAGGGGTTTAGGGGTTACATAGGGATAATGGAAAAGAAAATGGAAACTACAGGGATTATATAGGGTTTATATACGGATTATAGGAAATATGTTGGGGTCACATATAGGGATAGTGGAAAGCAAAATGGAAACTACAATTTAACTGGTTTGTACCTCCCCTGAACCCTCATGCAGTCCTTGGGAAGTAGACGCCCTGGAGGTTTGTTGTTTGGGTGTTATATACTTACGGATGGTTCCCCCTTTCCCCAAGAGCTTGGGGTCCCTAAAAGGCCACCACTATTTTGAGGAACTCCCTGGGAGGCCTGAACGCTGCCGCTGTTGGTCTGCTGGTGCCCACTATGTTTCTGGATTGGAGTAAAGCAGGGATGTGTAGCCTACTAGGGATACATAGAACTCATGGAAGAGAGAGGGAAAGAATTAGATTACTCAGGTTGAAGGTTTGGACCTTGCTTTCGGGGGTTTCGGTTTAGGGTTGGTGCGGTTTCAGGGTTAGGGTT